CACGCCTGTCCGTCTGCCCGAAATCACCCGAGAGAGCTTCCGCCGCCGTCGCGTCGCGGTGTTGATCGTCTACATTCGCGATGTCATGCCCGTTGTTTGATAGCCTAGCGAAGTTAGACGACGACCAGGCGCGACGAGGAAAATGGTTAGCTCCGCTCGCCAACCGCAATTAGTCAACGCTGGCGCGAACGTGAGACGCTTCTTGCGGCTCGCAAGACTGTCTCTAATACCCATTTCTATAATCGATGCAGATTAACTTCAATCTTGGTTCAACTTAATTTTCGTCTTTTTCTAATTCTTAGAACTAGAAAAAGATGAAGAGTTTGTTGAGCCAAGATTAAAATTAAATTACATTGGTAGAAACGGGCATTAATCCTCACATGGATTGCATTTATAAAGCGGCGCGCGACGTCTACAGTGAAATTTTAAAGCATAAAACTAAGGCTTCTCAGCCGTAAGAAATTAACCAATCACTGTTGAATGTGAAAAGAATAATAAAATTGACTATGATTTGACAATTTCTTACGGTTTTGGGCTTAAAACTTTACACATTGAAATCTTATTGTAAACGCCGCTTTAGTTGTATAAAATTAATTAATGTTTTATTTCATATTATACATATAATAAATTTTATAAATTATTATGTATGTAATATATATTTATAAATCATTATAATATATTTAATATAATATTTAATATATCATAATATATAATTGATATATATGTATATACGAGATATATATATATATATATATAATACATATAAGAATGCATCACTATCTAAAAAATAGTTTACAATGCCATAATCTCATAAACTTAATTTTGGAAAATATTTTCATTATTTAATTATTAACAATATCTTTCGTAATTTAAATTTAAAAAATGATAAATACAATAATCAGATTCAGATTTGAAAAATCTCAAAAATTAGATTTACAAAGGAATCAAATAAGCTTTGCAATTATTAACAAGAATTATAAGTAGCTAAACGTAATGATATAAATAGACACTTTGCAACATATCCTATGTTTTGCTAAAATTAATGTAAGTATGAGCATATAATGAGACTTTATTTCCTCATCTATGAATGGCTCAGATAAACTTAAGGAAACATAGATAATCTTATCCGGTTTCTGGAACAAGAACCGCGTTTTTACAGCTGTATTCGCAGGATGTACTCTCAAAAGATAACGCGAAATTAATAATATTTAAAAAGTTTCGGTAGGCATCGCCATTAATTGTTGTGTGAAACCTAATACATCGTGAGAGAACTTTAAAATAACAACCAGGAGATGACCGTGACGATAGTAAAGCCGCAAAAATGTTTGTTTACACGTAACTGACAAGCACGTCAAGAAATATCTGGCAGTTATACGACATCATGTAAATAAGAAAAGAAATGAGAGAAAAAAGGACATATATATATATTTCGATTTATTATAATAATCTGTCTCGATAAGTTTCTGTTCTCGTGATTGATCCGAAATTAAATTAAACTCCCTCTTGTTGTTGAGAGAAAAGAGAAAACTACTAGAATTCTCTAGATAAATTTGATTTCAAATATGAGAGAGAGAGAGAGAGAGAGAGAGAGAGAGAGAGAGTTATGCAAACGAATTTTACTGTTCCTGACCTCAAATATGATTTGACTATAAACTAAATATTAACTAAGGCAAAATATAGTAACTAGTCTAGTAGAATTTAACTTTAAATCTTTTTCAAAAGTGTTCTAAAACAGATTTACACACATTTAACTTTTAAAATAAAGATAAGAATATTTAGGTAATTAAAGATAAAAATTTTTTTTTCTCGCTAATGATTAGTATTTTTTTTATTGCACCTAACAAATTGATTTTTTACGTCGTCTAATTAATACCTTCACATTCTAAAAACTCACAGCATTCTTTTTTTTACGTAATTCGCCAGTATCGCACTGCTATTATTATAATATACTATACATATATGGTACATTTATGGTATTATGTCAGAGATAATAACCCGCTCAAATGTACAAATAATTACGTTAAATGTTGATTAGACGTGTGGGTAGCCTCGCTGAAAGATCGTTTATAGACAATTAACTTTCCTTTCGAAGCAAGGCTTGAGCAATGCAATGATTCGTGCATATCTACCTCATCACCTTTTGACTATTCAATAGGATTAAAGGTACGAGGTCTATCGGCGCGATCAGGTTCTTAAGGCACTGTCGATAGTGTATCAAAGCGGTTTATTATAGCTCGCCTTCATTGATAAAAGTATTGTGTCTTATAATTATCTTGCGAACATATACGAGTTGATTCGATTGTTCCATTTCTCCTGCAGATGGAATTATTTCCCCGACTTAATGATTTCTATTATTAATATTCTTGAGGCTTTCACGGGTGTTACCTATGTGACAATCTTGCGTTTCGCGGGTTTTCTCCGTGTTCAGATCCATTCTTGGCATTCCAAGAATGGATCTGAACACGGAGAAAACCCGCGAAACGCAAGATTGTCACATATCTATTATTATTAAGCATTTTTGTCGACTCAATGAGACGGATACATAATAATTAACGTATTTATACTTGCGAATGAGCTAATTCGATGATTAGTGGCTTTTTTTTACATTGCAGTGTTAAAAATATCTATAGTCGACCGTATATGACCGAGAATGAAAAGCCATCCGAACAAGCTCGGACGTTGACCGATTGGCCGATGGACGTAAAATAAATTAATGTGCCATTTTCTTAAGAAAGAATGTGTGTGACACAATAATTATTGCATCGTGGCGCATGGGGTGCATTGCACAGCAACACCCGTAAAATGCTTAGAAAGCACTTATACAAGTGAAATAAGCACTTTCTGAGCGCTTTGCAGGCGTTGCTGTACTACATGGATCGAATTGCCCATGTTCGCCGTGCACATCGCGTGCATCGGTTGACCGACCGCTTTTTCCACTCGTTTTTCCTAATGAGCGCGTTGGTTACGCTCGATGTGCGTACGTAGATCTTGCATCTCGTCGAGGAAGCAATTTGCAGTAAAAGCGGTCGATCGAGATGAGAACGAGAGCTGGCGAGGAAGTCACGACGTGGAGCCGCGCCTTGCTTATCTTGTGTGATTACCTATCTGACTTGAGTCAACAACCTTTAATTCTTACTGGCAACGAACTATGCATGCTAAACATAACATTCATCTCGATTTGTGAGTCTTCAGGTATGAGCAGATGCTCATTCAATTCTTAGAATATCCCTCTCTCTTTCAATGAAAATTTCCTGTTCTCCCATTCATGCTCACAAGCTTTATTAAAATCTTAAACGAGTAATTTAAATTAAAAATTCACGTAGTCCAACTTGAATACGAAATACAATACTTTTTGCTCGTTTTTTAATCCTTTTACCGCGAAGAGATATTTTTTTAATTAAGCCAGTTGAAGCTTTAAATAATCATTTTTAATAAATGTTTTAATTTTTGTTAAAATATATTCTTTTCAATATTAGCGCAATTACTTTTATAATTTTTACAGATATGATTGACACTGATTATCTGGAAAGAGTTGATATCTTATTAACAGATTTTAATAACGTAAATAATTTAATTAAATTTATAGACCTTTTTATATGTTAAAGAAAATAAACATACTAAAAACGAGCAAAATAGGGGTTGTATGTTTAAAAACAGAATAAATTTATTTTAAAACATAAACATTATGTTTAATGGCCATTAAACTTAATGTTCATGTTGAAATAAATTTGTTTTTTCTTAAGCATATAACCTATTTTACTTGTTTTTTAGCCTACTTATTCATTTTATTGCTTTGCAAATATATGTTGAATTTTTTCTTATTTTTTAAATTTAAATATATCGAAATCATCAAAGTAAGTACATCAAAAATTAAATTGATTCTTTGTTACATCAACATAAGTTTTTATACAATTGTTTCATACATTGTAGTTATGGTAGTATTCATTGTCATTCTTCTAAGTCCAATCAAACATATCTCTAGGAATAGTTTTAAAATTTACACAATTGTCTCTTTATTTATCATAGATAGGTTGATGCACATATCAATTTTTTAAATTTACCAAACAACATAATTAATAATATATATCAGATAAATATTAATCTAAATAAAATCACAAAGAATAAATATATGATATTCAAGTAAAGATCACAATAATCATAGCTTTTCAATTTACCATTGAAAAAAAATGAAAAAGATATAATAAAACATTTATTCGTGTATTACAATAACCTTCAAAAATTATTACATGAAAATCATTATATCACAAAATTTACTAAATATAATGATATATGTATCATCTGTATAAAAGATTTGATATCAACAATTGTGGCGCCA